TATATTTGTTACACATTATATATAGTATATACTATTAGTATATACTAATAGTATATGCTGATATAGCATATTATTAATGTATAATATACTCTATAGTGTATAGCATACACTATATTATATAATGTATAATATATACTATATATAGTATAGCATATACTATTGTTATACTATTAGGTAGTATAGTATATAATACACATACTACTATATACTATTAATTATATATACTATCATATAAAATAGTATATATAATATATACTATACTGTACATTATAATATACTATATAATATATCCATTATAATGTATAATTACATATAATATATATGTTTATACACTTCCATGTATACACACACATTATGTATTACTTAAATGCTCATGGTATTACTATTAGAAATATACAACACACATTTTATATATTTTATATATATTTTTTATATACATATATATTCTATATACATATGTATTTTTTTTCCCCACCCCAGGCCAAAATAATAGAGCCCCCTCCCCTGCAGACAACACAAATGCGCACACACACACACACCATATACACACACACACTCAGTACTACCACCACCACAAAAGACAGAAGAGAAGGGTCTCAGAACATAAACCACATAAGAAAAACACAAATGATTAAATAATATTGACTTTCTTTCTAAAAGGTAAAAATTTTAAAACTAGCATCTTAATACAAATTAAGTAAATTGGCATTAATAAAATTAATAGTAAAAAATAACTGAAAAATACTTGGGTGAAAATATTGTAAAAATACTGAGATTTTAAAGACTTGGTACTTTCACGAATGTGATAAAACGAATAAAATTTTTATTTAAAAGCATATGCTCTTTAAAATGCTCAGTAATCATGTAAAACTTTTCAAAGCTTCTGAACATATTAAAAAATCACATAAATTCAGGACTTCTAATTGTTTTTTTTTTTAGACAGAGTTTCACCCTGTCACCCAGGCTAGAGTGCAGTGGTACAATCTCGGCTCACTGCAACCTCTGCCTCCTGGGTTCAGGGTTTAAGCGATTCTCAAGCCTCAGCCTCCAGAATAGCTGGGATTACAGGTGCATGCCCACCACATCCAGCTAATTTTTGTATTTTTGGTAGAGATGGGGTTTCGTCCCTGTTGGCCAGGCTGCTTTCAAATTCATGACCTCAAGTGACGTGCTGGCCTCAGCCTCCCAAAGTGCTGCGATTACAGGTGTGAGCCACCACACCCAGCCCAATTTGCTACTTTGTTAGCCTTATCATTTTACTGGTTGGGTAGCATTCTGTTGTATAGAATGTAGAATACAATATAGTTTACTCTCTGTTGATAAACTCCTGGCCTCAAGTGATCCACCCACCTTGGCCTCCCAAAGTGCTAGGATTATAGGTGTGAGTAGTCACCGCTGTGCCCAGCCTAAATTTGGGACTTATAATAGGTAATACTCATGTGCATTTAAGTAAAACTTGTAAAGTAAAAAAGTAAATATATATATATGCAATATAAACATGATTACTGGATATATATATGCAATATAAACATGATTACTGGATATATATATGCAATATAAACATATATATGC